GACACAGACACACACACAGACACACACACACAGACACAGACACACACACACAGACACACACACATAGACACAGACACACACAGACACACACAGACACAGACACACACACACACAGACACAGACACAGACACAGACACACACGTGTCAGACGGTCTGTGTGCGAGCGGAACAGGTGAGAGAAGGCGTTTGTGTGTGTTTGAGACGTACTTGCCATCTACAGCTGCGGTGATCTTGCACGCGATCTCTTGTTCGTACAGAGTCCTCAGCATGCGCTCTCTGCGGTCCGAACGCCTCAGCAGGTTTATCATAAACACCTGCAGAAATATAACCAGAATAACATATTATATGAGCTAATAATATATGTAATGTATAAACCTGATGAATATATACAATAGCAATATATCTGACTACTTTATAAAATAATATAAAATTAAATAAATGTAATGTATAAATAATATGATAATACAGAATGTCAATAAAAATATATAAAATAAAAACAATTTTATTTTTATACTGGGGCCGCAAAATAAATACAACACAATAATAAACACAACTAAAAAATACTACACTATTTTATACCATTTAATAAATTAATATGATATAATATAATACAATACACTTTAAGCATTCCAGTATTTTATACCATTTTATAAAATGATGTAATATGGGATTAAAGTAATATAATACAATATAATATAACAATTATATATAATACAATATAATATAACAATTAATATAAAATAAAAATATAGAAATAATATAAAATAAAAATACAAAATAAAATACAAGGATTAAAAAATTTAATTATTACAAAGCTATTGTAAAATAAAACTAAAAACAAAATATTAAAAATAAAATATTTAAATATAAACGGCTATATTACTCTATTTTATGTCATACTATTTCATAAAATAACACAATATAACATAAAAAATAATACAATATAAAATGATAAATATAAAAATATAAAACATAATAAACATACAATTAAATATACTGCAATATAAAACAAAGTGAAATAGTTTGGTGGAAATGTGACATCCTGACCTCATCGAAGCCCATTTTATCCGATTGTTTCGGAGGAAGAGAGAGATACACAGACGGCTCTGATGGAGGATTGCGCACTGCAGACAAAACACACTCAATGATCAAAGACATCGTTACGCTCTTTAAGCTGAATAACAAGGACATGTGACCACTGACCAGTCATGTGACTCACCCATAACCTCCAGCAGCGAGTGCAGGAAACTGTCCACCTCGTCCTGCAGGGTATTATGGGAGCGCAGGGGCACGGGGAAATACCCATAAGTCTCTCTGTTGCAGATGTACATCTGAACCTCTGCGGGAAACGGTGTTAAATCTCAAGCAAAAGCAGCGCACATGATAACTGAATGTAATCTTCTCAGTCTGAGACGCACCTGCCATGCGCGCGGAGAAGGCGAAGATGATGATGTCGTCGAAGGCCCAGCTGTAGTCGGGATGCGGCGGGAAGAAGGCCAGCTCGCGGGACGCCTCCTTCCTCAGGTCCAGCAGGAAGGTGGAGTGAACCATGGGCACGGAGAAGCAGCCCTTGCGCTCCTGCCTGCGGATCGGCATGTAGGCCGGCGTCCGCTTATAATAACCCTGTAATAACACACTCGCTCGTTAACAAGACTGTGATCAAAGATGTCTGTCCACAACCTTCTTCATGACTAAAGGCCTTTTCACACTGAACACGAAAATTCGATGATGCTTTTGAATCGAAACAATAGATCCCTATGGAGCTATTCACACCAGGCGCAAAAAAGTAAGGATTTTTTTCCCCCGTCGCTCACAGAGAACAATAACGGTAACCATAATGACAGAGATATAGTCGTTCTAAATATAACGATAACGGCACAGAAGAACGATATTGATGGAATCACTTACACTTGGTTTTTTAGCTGATGAACAATAAAAATATTGACAACCAATCAGAATTCATTCTGCATTAAAGAGCTTGAGAAATTAAAGTGACTGGAAATCTGGAGTGCGCAATTAGAGTAAACATCTTAATCGTCTGTTGGCGTGAACGGGCCTTAAAACAAGATGGTACTGTCATCATTAAACAATGACTCTGATTAAAATATAATTATAATTTATATAAACATGCAATATTGCTGACAAAAGAGGCGAAAACACAATATTTATAATTATGAAAGTTATTTATAAACATTTAAATAATAATAAAAAAAAACTTTGCCAACATTTATCTTTATCTTTGTCAACAAAAAGTAGAAAAAATATTATATATTATATAAATGTATTTTAACAAGCCTGTTTGCGGTTGCCAAATGTCAAGAGTTTAAATCCCCCTAAATTACAAATTTTATTCCTTTTTTTTTTTACTTAATATTTAATTATAATTTATATAAACATATAAAAAAGATAAACTAAAATATTTCTAATTATAAAATGTAAATAATAAAAAATACATTTCTTTTTATTTTTGTCAACAAAAAGTACATTTTTTGTTATTACTATATATTATAGAAATATTCTTCAACAAGCCTGTTTACGGTTGCCAAATGTCAAGAGTTAAAATCCCCCACCAGAAACAGCAAATTTTCCACCCTTTGATTTACTTAATATTCCCAAACTGGCAACCATCTGCACAAACTCTCTCTGCTCTGAGAAAAAAGCTCTGATGATCTGAAAACACCAGAAATCATGTACACTGGAGTTTAGCGATCTTCACTGCGATATTACGCTCAAAGTAATGTGTAATAAAGGCAGTCTGTGTTCCTTCGCGTGGCCGTTTGCGCTGTTTGCTATGAATAATGTGAGAAAAACTTCTCAGTGACAAACTAATAAACCCAAACAAGTGTTGCTTATGTGAAAGTGCAATCAGAAACGTAAAAAGAAATTTCTCTAATGACAACTATTCGAATTTTGTGTGATGAAATTATGATTATCAGTTGAACCACTATGCAGCATGACAGTTTTCATTGACTAAATCTTGACTAAAATGCCCAGACGTTTAGACTTGACTAAGAATACGGTTGACTAAATATGATAAAAACTAAAAAGCACATTTGCCACAGGACTAAGTCTAAACAATAAAACAGCTGTGAAATGAAGACTCAGACGGGATCCACACGTGATCAGTTGTGGGTTTCACACACCTGAGACGTCATGCCGCACCAGAAGTTTGAGTACGCCGCTCTGGACTCCAGCATCGGCGCCGCGATCGTCTTATTCTCCTGCATCAGCTTCCATAAAACATCCCGGTTAGTCAGCAGGTTATCACAGTCCACCATCTGCAAACACAGACGCACTGCCACGAGTCTGTCAGGTTTATTTTCATTTATTACTTATAGCGACACATTACGTGTCACTTAGCCTAATTTTAGATCTAAAAAAATGTGCATTGTTTTAATCCGATCCACAAAAAAAAATTTTCTGACACTCAACTGGAGGTTATTTACAATTGAAAATATATTATAGCTTAAATATAGAGAGGACTTAAGTACATCTTTAAATGTAATTTCATAATTACTTCTGTTGTCATAAAAATATGGTTAAAGCACTGCTGAATGTACTGACAAACATTTATGGCAAACTAAAATACATTTTAATGTCATTTCTATTGGAACTTGTTTAAATATATTTGTAATTACACGTTTGTAGGTTGCATTTAAGTACATTTAAAATGTATAAACCTGTTTTATTTTGAAATTGGATTTTGGCTCCTGAATCAGAAACACACTGTAAAAATGACTTTTCAAAGTTAAATTATTATTGGAAAACACTCTACGAGAAAATACTATTTCAGTCGTTCTGCTTCTTTGTAATTATTTGTGAAATTTACTAGCTATTTCTGAGTGAAATCTACACCTACTTTTACAGTTTGAACTCAAGAGATGACTAAAAAAACTTTTTAATTTATGTCAGTTACTGAAGATAAAACTCAATGTGGTTCTCCAGGAAAGATGTTTGACTTTTATACATGCCCGTGCTTTTGATTCCTCAGCGGCGGCTCGAGAGACAGTGTGTTTAATCCTATAATGGTGCAGAGTACTTCCACTGAAACACATGCAGAGCAGTTAAACTAGTGTGGAGCCGAACGCTGGACTGCAGGAACAGAGCTGATCACAGAGCAGCAGAAATATCCCTATAATACTGAACAGAGCAACTGCTAACTTTAGACGAGCAAGCGACGGGACACGGCCCGTGACCCTCTACAGACTGGAGGTGAAGTGTAATTACACTGCTGTCACATTATCTGCGCTGACAGGCAACATTACAGCCGTGGATGATGGTAACTGACTTCAGCGAGGGCTAAAGAGACTCGTCTCAGATTTTAGACGATGTACCAGAAAGTAGTCGGCCCACATCTCCCGCGCCGTGTCGAGCGCCGCCTGACGCAGCTTCATCACGTGCTCGTATCGCAGGTTCGTCCAGTGCTTCGGGCCGCTCTCGTCCTCATAGACGCTGAGAAACACACAGACAAATACATGCATGAGCCACAAACCATTCAGACACACATCAAGGGCAAAGTGGCATTCGCATATTTACTGTCTGATTTGTCGTCCTATCAATTAATTCAAATATATGTTAAAATGCAACTGATACATAAAATGACTTAATTGCACTAAAATGTTTTTAATTTCTGTACCAAAAAAATGCATTTTTATGGCAAGGCAAGGTTAGTACAGGTGGTAAAATACCATGTGGTGCAATATACCCAATATACTGTATATATTTTTGTTACAATGTTAACGGAATTAAGTAAAATATAAGAAACTGAAACTTGTTTTATTTCAGCTATTTTCCAAGACAGCATTTCTTATCTTCATTTAGTGTGCCTTGGTGTAATAAAATAACTAAAACTGAAATAAAAATAAAAATAAATTAATTGTGAATTTAATGGTAAAAGACTGTGAAAATGCTACAGTAAAAACCTGTTAAATGGTTAACGGTAACCCTACTATATACGGTGAAAAACTGTATTGGACATTACAATTTTACGGTAGTATACCGTTTTTGGAAGTAAAAACGAAGTATATTTTACAGTGAATAACCGTAAATTGACATTTCCAGAATTCCCTGCGTTACATTTCAAATTTGATGTTTTTTTGTTGAAATAACTATGTTTGTTTTTATTTTTTTCTTATCAGTTTTGTACATTAGAGTTGTATGTTACATCTAATGTTGTTAAATTAATGTTTACTGCATTATTTCAGTTTCATGTGTGTTTAGTGTTTGTGTGAATGACACTGTGCACCTTCTATATATGTTAGTATATAAAAGCTGCTTGTGATAGGCTTTGGTTCATCATGTGACTTTCTCATCGCCACCTGCTTTTGGTGGTTATCAGTGTATTACAAAGGTACAAAACAGATTTCAGGACTTCAATAGGTTGGTATATTAACATTATATCAGTTAATGAAATTACGGTATTTAACTGTAAATTTAAGTTAAAACCGTAAAACCTAAAATGTTGATACCGTATTTTTATGATAAAATTCCGTAATTCCACAGCGGCCGTATTTTACGGATTGTTTTTTACAGTGAAATTTAAAAACAACACAAACTACTGAAAATTGTGTATTAGCAGGTACACATTGCGTTAGCAGCGCAAAAGGTCGTGGGTTCGATTCCCAGGGAAAACACATACTGGTAAAAAAAATGTATTAGCCTGAATGCACTGTAAGTCGCTTTGGATAAAAGTGTCTGCTAAATGCATAAATTATTAATTAAATTATGAAAATGACAAAAACACCAAATTACAACAAAATGACAAAACTTTAAAATAAACATGAAAAGAGAAACTAAAAATAAAATCTAATTCAAAATATCAACAAAAACTACAATAGTATCTCACACTGAAACAACACACATAAAAGACACACACACACACACACACACACACACACACACACACACACACACACACATATACATATATACAGTATATATATAGTACTTAAAAACTTGACAATAAAGAATAAATCAGTCACATTTTTAATGTTTAATGAAAAATGTTTAAATAAAAGATTAAAAAAGATCAATGTATTTTGAGGTCAATAGTGCATTGATATTTAACAAATTTGGATTTATTTAACAAAATATGTTTTCTAACAGAAGAAGAGAAAGAGAGCAGACACTGGTCAGTGGTCAGATCACGTGAGCAGATGTTTCTGTGATCCTGTAGTTTGTGTTTACGCACGAGTTCAGCTTGAGGCTTGAGGTTAGTTTAAGGTCAGCCTCACCTGGGCTCCTCCTGAGGTCTCCACTCCACATAATGATAGAAGTTCTGGACGTTTACGAGCCATTCGCGCAGGATCGCTGTGGTGTTGTCTGAATTATGATCTGTGGCCACCCTGAGGACAGAGAGATCATCTGAAAACAGTTCAACATCTGAAACAGACATGTCAAAGACGGCCGCTTCTCCAAACATGAATGACAAAATAGAAAGCAAATGACTATAATTAGAGCTTTTTAATTTTCCCTTTTTCCTAAATGTTGAGTTTGCTCTGATGTGCAGCGCTGTAAAATCACCCCATATTTAACTGCACTACACGACCTTTGGAAAACCAAGCTTGTCTTCAGCGTTTGGCTGCAGAAGGAGCACATGAGAACCAGAGCCCTTCACAGCTGCTACACAATGTGTTAGTGAAGAAAAGGAGTCAGATTCACTCACACAGTTGCCAGTGTTGGGGAAAGTTACTTTTGAAAGTAATGCATTACAGTATTGCTTTACTCTATAAAAAGTAACTAATTCCGTTACTTTTATGAAAAGTAATGCATTATGTTACATTTGCACTACTTTCTGTCACCTAGGCTGGGCTTGATTATTTGTTTTTATTAAAAAAAAAATATATATATATATATATATATATTTGGCCCTTTCACAACAAAAGCAAAATGAATAAGCCTCAGTCTGAAGGAAGTACAAAACTCAATTGCAAATGTAAAAGTAATGCACTTTACTAGTTACTTGGAAAAGTATGTTGCATTACTTATAATGTGTTACCCCCAGCACTGACAGATGCTGTACAAACGTGTGTGTGTTCAGGTGAGTTCAGCAGATGTTCCTGGGGAAATTTATCACTGAGATCATACAGGCTGTCTCTAATCAGGGTTTAGCTGTGAACAGATGGTTTCCAGGTGCACAATCTCATACCAAACACACACACACACACACACACACACAGAGAGAAGCTTCTGAAAGTTCCTCAGGCAAATTTCATTCCTCTTTTTTTCCAGTCTCAATCAGATCTGACAGACCCGTCCATCTCATCAGGATTGTGTTTGATGACCTACAGGTCTGAATGCTTCCGTTATTTACACTAAACTTGCAAAGACAAAAATTACTAGTACTAATTTAGGGCTGGGCGATATGACGATATACAGTATATCGGATGGACGAAATTAAAAGTCTATCTTTTCATATTATGCTCTATCGTTTATTTTGTGGTGCCGCAAAAATACATTGTTTACGGCAATACTTTTTCATCGTGTAGTCTGAACCGGGCATCTTATGCCCGGTTCAGACTACACGATTTTAGCCCGATTTTGCCACGATTTGCTTGACGTAGGGTGTCATGGGGATTCGTAAACGACAATCGTTTCAGCTCGTGTAGTGTGTCATAGTGGACGACAACCAAATCCGCGTCTGAGATGCTTCACGGCAGAAAGACTAGCATGTTTAATTTTTTTTCCGTCGTCCACGATGAGTTCTGTCACATTGGTGACGTTGACCAATAGCAGCACAGAAGCTCTTTCATACACAGGTTTCAAAATATACAGTATATATATAGTACTTAAAAACTTGACAATAAAGAATAAATCAGTCACATTTTTAATGTTTAATGAAAAATGTTTAAATAAAAGATTAAAAAAGATCAATGTATTTTGAGGTCAATAGTGCATTGATATTTAACAAATTTGGATTTATTTAACAAAATATGTTTTCTAACAGAAGAAGAGAAAGAGAGCAGACACTGGTCAGATCACAGGAAACGTGAGCAGATGTTTCTGTGATCCTGTAGTTTGTGTTTACGCACGAGTTCAGCTTGAGGTTCAGATATAGTTTAAGGTCAGCCTCACCTGGGCTCCTCCTGAGGTCTCCACTCCACATAATGATAGAAGTTCTGGACGTTTACGAGCCATTCGCGCAGGATCGCTGTGGTGTTGTCTGAATTATGATCTGTGGCCACCCTGAGGACAGAGAGATCATCTGAAAACAGTTCAACATCTGAAACAGACATGTCAAAGACGGCCGCTTCTCCAAACATGAATGACAAAATAGAAAGCAAATGACTATAATTAGAGCTTTTTAATTTTCCCTTTTTCCTAAATGTTGAGTTTGCTCTGATGTGCAGCGCTGTAAAATCACCCCATATTTAACTGCACTACACGACCTTTGGAAAACCAAGCTTGTCTTCAGCGTTTGGCTGCAGAAGGAGCACATGAGAACCAGAGCCCTTCACAGCTGCTACACAATGTGTTAGTGAAGAAAAGGAGTCAGATTCACTCACACAGTTGCCAGTGTTGGGGAAAGTTACTTTTGAAAGTAATGCATTACAGTATTGCTTTACTCTATAAAAAGTAACTAATTCCGTTACTTTTATGAAAAGTAATGCATTATGTTACATTTGCACTACTTTCTGTCACCTAGGCTGGGCTTGATTATTTGTTTTTATTAAAAAAAAAATATATATATATATATATATATATTTGGCCCTTTCACAACAAAAGCAAAATGAATAAGCCTCAGTCTGAAGGAAGTACAAAACTCAATTGCAAATGTAAAAGTAATGCACTTTACTAGTTACTTGGAAAAGTATGTTGCATTACTTATAATGTGTTACCCCCAGCACTGACAGATGCTGTACAAACGTGTGTGTGTTCAGGTGAGTTCAGCAGATGTTCCTGGGGAAATTTATCACTGAGATCATACAGGCTGTCTCTAATCAGGGTTTAGCTGTGAACAGATGGTTTCCAGGTGCACAATCTCATACCAAACACACACACACACACACACACACACAGAGAGAAGCTTCTGAAAGTTCCTCAGGCAAATTTCATTCCTCTTTTTTTCCAGTCTCAATCAGATCTGACAGACCCGTCCATCTCATCAGGATTGTGTTTGATGACCTACAGGTCTGAATGCTTCCGTTATTTACACTAAACTTGCAAAGACAAAAATTACTAGTACTAATTTAGGGCTGGGCGATATGACGATATACAGTATATCGGATGGACGAAATTAAAAGTCTATCTTTTCATATTATGCTCTATCGTTTATTTTGTGGTGCCGCAAAAATACATTGTTTACGGCAATACTTTTTCATCGTGTAGTCTGAACCGGGCATCTTATGCCCGGTTCAGACTACACGATTTTAGCCCGATTTTGCCACGATTTGCTTGACGTAGGGTGTCATGGGGATTCGTAAACGACAATCGTTTCAGCTCGTGTAGTGTGTCATAGTGGACGACAACCAAATCCGCGTCTGAGATGCTTCACGGCAGAAAGACTAGCATGTTTAATTTTTTTTCCGTCGTCCACGATGAGTTCTGTCACATTGGTGACGTTGACCAATAGCAGCACAGAAGCTCTTTCATACACAGGTTTCAAACATGGCGAAACGAAAGAGAGATGATGGTGCTGCTAGGTGGAGTTATGAGATGGAGGAAAGGTTCGTGGAGCTGTGGCAACAGTACTCCTGCCTGTA